AGAGTAAGGGTAATTAACCATTGGAAAAACTTACTGAGTGGTTGGTAAAGACTATCACATGCAGTCTCTGAGGCAAGACCCATTAAACTGCTGCCCTGCTCACAGCCCTGAGCAGTGCAGCATGCTGCTCGCAGGAGTCTGTTCCCCTCTCTGAGGCTTTGCCATGTCTCCCCGGAGGAGTGCGGCCACCCTGCTGTTGGCACAGGGCAATTCCCTATGCAAAAAAGTTGTCAGCCTGTCTCGTTCACTCTCAAGCCTCCAAGTCCATCTCTAATTGTTGCAATGAATGCAGGTAATGAAGACCCAGTACCCCTACAGGCAGTTACTATTTCTCTGCATACCCGGCCACCTCCCTAAACTTCGTGCTGTGCGTTTGCATAGGCACTGGTTTCCTATAAAGTGCAGAACTGAAGCAACATTCTCCAATTAATCATAGATGCAACTGAACATCAACACTCTCTAAATCGACATCATTTAGAAGGTGGAACACAGAAACCATGCTGAGTGTTCAGAATAAGTCTAGGACATCTATCTATTTTGGTACGATTACTGTCATCAAATGCATGCCGCCCCCAGGTCTTTGGTTTGACAATGCATGCAAAAAATACAACTTTCTCAATACGTGTCCTCTGACATCAAGGCATAACTATCCATTAATGCAATGCCTGTTTTCTTTGAATGTTAATTTAGTCTCCTAACATTTTAATGCAACTCCCTCTTCCCTCCCAGCAGTGGTTCTCACATTTGGGAGCTGGGGGTCCCAGCATCTGAGAGGTCGCACAATGTGCCTTGGATGCTTGAGCTTCTGGTCGTTGTCCTCCCAACCTGATCTTTCCCTCTCTGCTTGCAACCGTTTCTGCATAAGCCTTAATAGCATCTAAACATTTTGAATAGGTAATGCTATTTATATGGCCATAACTCTAATTATCTTGAGGCTATTTTCTGCCATGTAGGCACGTTAACGAGTTGCCTAGTCCTACAGCAGTTACTACTGCAGGAAATGGCTCTTAATACCTGGAGTGTGTCTCAAAAATTGTTCTGACATAAGATGTCTTTCAATTACAACTATAAATCTTTATTATAACAGTTCGTTTTCTTTATTACGAAATGATAATCACAGTGCTTTTAATGAGAATGGCAGTCAGTCCCTACACTTCAGTATTTCAGACCTTGGAAGAATTGCATGAGTCAAACTAAAGGCAAGCAGGTTTTACGCTTAACACAATGTCTTAACTGCAATAAAATACGTGACTGTTTTACACAGACCTTTACGTGAAGCATGCCATGCCAAATGGTTAAGCAGAAAGCAATTACAAAGTGAAATTAGTCTGTGTGGAGGCCCCAAAGCTGTTAATACACCGAGCCCAGAGGATGTTGGATGTTATCTGGTGGCTGGGGCAGGGGGTTGAGACTCCCCAGTTCCTGCCCCCATTACCAGGCTAAAGCTGCAGGCTTTCCTGTCCCAGCGTCCCCAAACTCCCCCGATGGATGTACCCTGTGAAGCAGGGAAATGAGCTCGCATGGGGCTTGGGCTTCCCCAGCTACACGGAGCCACCTAAATCAAGTGCAGGTCTTCCTGCATTTCCCTACTGTCCGCAGGGTGGGCGTGCTCTGCGGTGTGGTAGGACCCATAAAAACGTTGTGGTGTTGTGTAAAGGAAGGAGAGGCAAAGTGCCATCAGTTCGCTCGCATATTCTTCACGTAGTGCACTGAGGACTGCCCAAACAGTCTTTCTGCAAACAGCCCTTGTCTTCTCTCTTGAGAAGAAAAGGGAGTGCAAGCTCCCTGCTTCTTCTGTTCTGACAACTGGCGATTTTCTGTTCAGCTCTTTTCTAAGACGTTATAAATCCCACCTTCTGGCTTTTCAAATAAAATCCCCTTTTTACCTCTAAGGAAAGCCATTTGAAATGCACTTAGCAACCATTGGAGTCTATTTTTAGCTTCTATCAGGGTATAATGTACAAAATGTAATAATCTCATGCTTGCAGCTTTTTTTCCTTCTTCTCAGAGACATGAAATCACTGCAGCTCAATAGGAGTGAAAGAGCCTGTGTCTCAGCTTTGCCCAGAACTCAGAAATTCTCTCTATCAATCTATGCATCTCAACTCCTTCACGTTCACCTTTTGCAGTATGGTTATTTATGGGCAGGTCCAGCTACTGTAAATGTGCTGAACAAGGTAAACCGAGTGTACGTTTCTAGGTTCTTCTCTGACTGTGGGACTTGTTGTCAAGGATATTTGTAGGGCAGAGAACCAAAGACAGTTTAGAAGGAGTAGTAATAATCACCTACATGATATCAAGAAAGATGGAGGAATAAAGGGGCTGTTTAGCAAATGAAGCAACTTCAACCCGAGACAGAAGTGCCCTTCTCACCTAATGAGGAAAATTGGGCTGTCAGTATTATCCTTGGTCCTAAGATACACCTTCCATTTTCTACAAATGTGCTGCGGTCCCTCAAATCCTGGGAATTGGGCGCTTGGTGGAGACATGAGGTCTGCAGAGGCTTTTGGGGTGTGTGTGTGGGGGGAGATGCATCTTCCATTAATCTTTCTGTTCTCTGCAAAATGAAGTAGGAAGCAGTGATCTCATAACTGTGGAACCGTGTTGGAACACAAATGTTCCCAAATGACTGCTGCAGTATGCTGCGCGAGACCTTGGTGAAGTCATTAAAGTCATTCACCTTCAAGTGATTTAGGTCGGTACCTTCAGCTCGTATTCCTAGCCTCTCCCCAGCTCTTAGATACGGCTGTAAGAAGGACAAGGCTTGCCCATCGCAGTGTGTGTGGGCTTGGGGGCACCACTTGGGGCTCAGAGGCTTTGTTGGACCGCATTGTCCTCTCCAGCAGTCAGTATTGTCTTACTAAAATGAGTTTTAGGACAAGTTTGTTACCACTTAATGCAATCCCTCTGAAATGCCTCATCCAGCCTGCTGTTATTTGTTTGTAGAAGGCTTAGAAAACGACAGTTTGTGCCTGAAAGGTCTTTCTGGTGCAGAAGATGGCCTGTTTGATTTCTGGGGAAGTGGTAGGTCCCTTTTATTGCAGCCCAGGAGGTGCACATGAATTCAGTGCACTTGAGGTGCAATAAATAACCAGGCAAACCATGTCTTCTGCTGGTGTCTGCTACGTTTCCTGTGAAACGTTCGCTGTGTTCGTTCCAGTTTTGAATGGCAGAAGTGATGGGGCTCCCATTGCTTCCTTCAGGAGATCAAGTGAACTCCTGTGCCGGATCAGAAATAGACTTTAAATAATTCATTGAATAAAGTCTAGGACTTTTGTAAATGTCTGTCTGATTCTCCTTGCTCCCTATTATTCCTGGCTTTCCTACCAGCCCACAGAGCACACAGTCACATCCCCCCTATCATCACATCTACATGGGCTCCTTTCGCTCGCAGCTCATCGCATTTCTTTGAGCATTGGTTGAATTTTTCCTTTTTCTGTTGATTGAGGGAATTATTTTGCCCGATAAGACTTTGATACCCCATTTGAGTGTGCTTTGCTCCTGATCTGAAAGGAGACGTGAACATTAACTTCCTCCTCTTGGAACTCGCTTTATATTTATATAGCAAGTTAAAGCATTTTGCACGGTACTGTAAACATATAGAATCGAGTTCTGTTCTCATTTGTATCCATGCAGTCATGCTGAGTAAAATTCAGCCTGTAGAGCTTAGACATGCGCTTTTAATCCTATGCATTTTGTAAGACTAATAAGCCGCTTGGAGGCTTGAGGGCACACAGCCTAATTGGGCAGGATCATGTAGGGTGGCAAAGCACGAGGTAGAGTTCTGAAGCGTAATTCTAGATGGGAGAAAAATACAGGGAGTTTGTTAATATTCCTTAATTCCAAGCACTCCTGCAATCACATCCTCATTACTGAAAGGGATGAATTTGTTTATACTGCTTAGCTTCAGGCTGGAACTCAACATAAGATATATTTCCTTGCAAAGATGCGTTTCTATTTTATTTGATGGTCTGAAATTAAATCAGAAGGGATGTTATTTAATCGGCGAGAAAAAAGAAAGAAGGAATAAACAGGTATCCAGTGAACTCAAGGTGGAAGTTATGTGACATGTGAGGCCCTCTGGGAACATAACAGTCTGAGGAACATCGGGCTCGGATTCTTTTCCTGCGTGGCACAGGTTTCAACACCCAAGATAGACAAGAATTCCTGACTGGCTTCTCATGTATGATCCGTGCCTCAGGGAGGTGCAAAACTAAATCTCAGCTATCTACTCCCAACACAATCCTCTTCTGTTGCCTGTGTCAACTGAAGTAGGGTTAGGCGAGATTTACAAGTGGCTAAATAGGAGTAAAATGTAGCTTCCTTTAAGCATCCACAAAGCCTGGTGTGAACTCCAGTTCTCTCCACTGGATGAAATAGTTCCTCTGGGATGCTGTGGTGAATTTGCAAGTCATTAGTTGTTACAAGCTTTTTAAGTTTCTCTTTATTGTGGAAATTAAAACCAAAGAGATGCATGGACTGATAAATAACGAAGACCTGGTGGTGGTACCTGCTAGAATGTTTCTTATTCTATGGCTGCAACAAACTTGACTTTTCTTTTTACAATAACATTTTTTTTGGTAATATAACCTTACTGGTGTGGGTGTGGATTATAACATTCCTGGGGTGTGTGTATGTATGGGAGAAAGAGAAGCTGGAGTCAAACCCAGAGCCCCTTAAGTAACAAAACAAAAACAGCACCACAAATGTAGAATTGCATTGTAGCTCATTTAAGCCTCACTGAAATTTCCATTGTGCAAACATTTAAATGTTGTAGTTACTGTGGCACATCTCATTTTACTTTATTCCCTGGTGGATGTTTCCCTGAGAATTTGGTACAGATGCTGAACAATAAAGCCTGTTGCAAATTGCTTTCCAACTGCTAGGTAATTACAGCAGATTTTATGCTAAATGTAAAGAATGTACTGCTATTTTTTAATAAAGGGAGCATCTTTTCTAATCTGTTGCTTTAATACTGTCTCATTTGTCTTATTTTCCAGCTGAAGGATAACTTGCAGTTATTCGCACCCAGGCTGAGCTGCTGGCATGCCTGCCTTTCCATGTACTTCCCCAGAATCTGCACGTTACAACAACCAGCTGGAAGTTCAGACCCTCTGTGTATTTAGTAAGTAACTTTAAATATTTAATATCACTACGCTGAGGCCACAGAGTGTGTGTCTATCCGTACTTGTTAGCAAATTGGACAGAATGTTTAGTTTCAGCAGGCTTCAAGGATTAACTCCACATTTTGTCCCATGTGTCAGTGTTTACTAACACGTCCAGCGATGTTATAATCTCCCATGGACCAGGGAGGATAAATATGAAAACTCCTCAGCTCTTGAAGAAAGGCTTCTTTCACTGCGTCTGTGCACAAACGTGGGTCTTGTGCTGTAGGAAGTGTTGGTGATTCCTCTGTGTCACAAAGTGGTTGAGCTGGGAAGGGTGGGACTTGTTTCATGGGGAGAGGCCATCAGCAGAGCCAGGGAGCACAGGAGCATCCTTGGCATATTGAGAAGTTCAGCATCAACAGGTTTGTGGCAGAGGGGCACCACAGCCATCATCATCATGGTGATGAACATCCCACCGACCCTGGCAGAGCTCATTGCCCCTGGTGTCAAGTTCAAGGTCTGTGACTTGAGTGTCTTGGAGCTGGCTGTGATGGTTTGGAGGTGCAGTGACACTGCAGGGAGCCAGGAGGGCTCGGGGCACGTGGCTGGGGTGTGCGAGGCAAAGCCATGCGTGGGCCTGGGCTTACTGCGTTAATCTGAGTGAGGGAAGAGCAGCACGAACAAGCTCTGGGATGTGCTGCTGGATATAACTCCTTCTCCAGGGTCTGCTAGTCAAAATCTTCTTCCACTTGTAGTACTCCTGTAGTGAGCGCCTCTGTTTTGTCACAGCGCAGATGACAAAATGTTACCGCGCTTGGCACAAGGCCAGGGAGGGATGCTGCTGCTGGCTCGTGCTAGATGGGCAGCTCTACAGCCTCATCTTGTGTCACCCTCAGAATAACAATTCTCCCTTGGTTTCACCGCCCCCGTTGGTGGCTATGTCTGGCACAGCTCCCTGGGCTGAGGAAAGGACAGGGAGCGTTAATAGGTTGATGTTTAACTGCTTTGAGGGCAGTGGAACATGGTAGCTCAAGAAAAGCTATTATTAAGCCATGGCAAACAGCATTGCTGCCCTGCTGTGGGTTTTTTACTAAAGACATAGCTGCGTGCTCAGCCCAGGGCTGCTGGAGGGACTGGGGGCTGCGGCTCCATCGGGGTGCAGGAGGCTCCCCCTGTGCCCACCAGCAGCAGAGGGCACCGGCAGCGTGGCTGTGGGCACCCGCTCCTCAGCATCCCTACTGCAAATGGCAAGTGTTTGGGGCTGCAGTCATCCGCGCTGGCAAATCGCACCTGGGATCTATTGTAAGCATGCAACTGAAATGTGTTTTAAAAATGTGTCAGTCATTAGAATCTAAAAATTGATCTGAGCCCACACAAGGAGCAAGCGCATAAGAGTGAATCAGAGTAACACGCTGATGAAATGTAGTATCTGAGGGTGCAGGTACTGCATTTTAGACAATTACACGCCATGAAATAATGGAAAAAGAATATAAATGTCAATCTAAACTTCTAGGAACCTGCATTTGTAAACTGCATTGGGAACCAGTTAACCTTAAAGATGTTTTCCAAGAAAAGGTGTGAACCTAAATCTTTAGCATTTCTGTGAAGGAGTAAAATAGGCATGGAGAGGCCATCAAGATAATTGTATAAAAAGATGTTTGCACTTTTCAGAAGGGTGGAGGAAGGAAAACAAATTTAAACAAATTAGCCTAGCCAGTAAGCCAGAATTTGGTGCTTAATTCTGTGCAATTACTTTGACATGTGGTGTTATAATGGAGAAAGATTACAAGAATATGAAAATGTAGAAGTAGTCAAGGGTAAAATTAGTAGAGCATTCATGCATTTCTGTGTGCAGAAGTAGTAAAACCTGAAGCTGTACTGGAAAATGGAACTTTGATCAAAGTCTGTAAATGCCATTGAAATGTCCTGCGGACAGCAGGGCAGCGGGAGCAACGGGTCAGGCACTGCCGCACCTCGCTGGTGCTCGGCTGGGATGTTTCATGTTGCCCAGAGCTTTCTGAGGCTGCTTTTAGCCACGTGCTGCGAGTACCTTTCCAGTGTTTTCCTGATGAGAGGTGTGATGGTGCGTGGGATTTGTTTAAGGACTGGCTAGCTATTTCTGGGGAGAGCTGCGTGCAGCAGTAGCAGTCCTCGGTGGCAGGATTTGTCCAAGGTAAAAGCTCGTGCACTAGGGCTGGGTGAAAACTGCTCTCAGGTCTCTGCAGATGCTGTAGTGAGTTTAAAATGGAATCTACTGCTATTTATGACTTGATCTGTTTCCCATGAACTTTCATATGACTGACTGATGTGAATGCAGAAGCAAAGAGGTGCAAGCACCACAGGGTGATTAGTGCAGAGGTTTCAAGCTCATGTTAATCTGCTACCCAGGCAGATTACTCATCTGCTACACCACAGGGTTACTCATCGGGGCGATTCTCCTGGAGATCGGTGGGGGTCCTACAGCAGACCTCCTACTGTCTGAGTACCAGGCCCACTGGTATGCCTGCTGCTGGCAAAGGTGGCAGGAGAGCTGCAGTGAGATAAGACAGGAGATGCAGAGGGCACCTATGGAGGCGTGCACTCCCACCATGTGCCATTGCATTCAAAGCAAAAACCCACGTGGCTCAGGAGGCAACAGAACCCCATCCAGACACTTTCTGACTTCCAGTAACGCTGCTGAGTAGTTGAAATGTGCAATTTAACATATGGCTAATAAACTACTAATTAAAACAAATAGGAAACAGTCAACTAATCAAATCTCCTTGTTGCCATATGGCAAAAATCCCTGGCAGCCTCCTAGACAGGAGTCACCCAGCCCAGGGTATCAACAGGGACCCAGTGACTCAGCTGGGGATCAGGGCGAAGCAGGGAATTGGGGATGATTACTCATCCAGTCGTCAAACACAGTGATCTTTTACAGCCCCGGGGCAAAGCTCAGCCCCTGCTCGCAGCGGAGAAGGGCGAGGGCAGCAGATGAAACACCTGATGCGCTGCGGTGGCAGCTGAGATGTTCTCCTTGATTGTGTCATCTTTTGAGGTGCTTTCACCTGCTTCCAGGCTACTGAGATGAGTGCTTGCAAAAACTGGGAGTCTCGTAACGCATCTGTAAACCCCTCTGAGCAGTCAGTCCAGAACAGAGTGCTTGGAGCCCCTGCAAGCAGAGCCCTTCCCTGGTGGCTGGGGGTGCCATGCATCTCACCTGAGTCACAGGCTTAGGAGTAAGAGGAATATTACTGGGGCAGAACCTGACGGCAATTCACGGGCTAGGATTTGCCTGCTGGATGTCTCGGTTGAGATGCTGCGTGCTAATGCTTGTGGCAGGGAAGCAGCCGGGCTGAGAGTAATTTACAAGCAGCAAAAAGCCTCCGAGTGATTCAGCAAGAATCAGCTCCGTGCCACGCACAGCCTCAGTAACGTGCGTTAGTGAGAAAGACAGCAGCTCTGGAGCTGAGAGGGTGTTCAAGTCTCTAGGCCCTGTTGCATCTCTGGCATTTCCATGGAGGCTGCCAGCGGGAGGTGCAGTTATCAGGGTGATGCTGCGATACAAGTTTTTAATACAAAGAACTGTATTTAGTGACCCTGTAGTGCTTTACGTACCGTAAGTGATGGCAGTCAGCCCATCCTATAGGGAGGGAAGGGTGGTTAATTAAGCTACATCTTAGCCAATTACGTGAACCAAGAACAAAACAGGATGTTTGCCCTGTCTCTCTTATTAACTTACTTCATCGGTATAAGTGCAGCAGCTGGATGACTCACAGCCCTTAGTGGTGAACTGAGGCACAAAGATGCTGTGGTCACGTAGGCTCAGGAGCAAAAGATCACCTTGCATGGCACAGCCAAGCGCCAGGTTCAGTACCGTAGTCAGTGGATCGTTTTCCTGCATGTTCATACCCCAGAAATTTAATTTGAAACCATTTGCAGCAGATGAGCTTTAAGCTGTCATGATAAAAGGCAATATAGATAGTAAATCCTCCTATGAGTCATGAAAGCTGTGTGTCCCTCTGTAAATTTATGCATTCCTATAGAAGGTATCTTTTATCCTCTCTTGAGTCGTTCTTTCTATTTCTTAAATGGAATCATCAATTATAAAGAAGCTAAATCTGGATTTTTTTCCCCCCACACCTTTTACCCTTGTCTTGGTTCAGATTTAAGTCATGTCATGGGGGGTGTGAATGTAATGTAGAACTCAGCATTAACAGATCAGAGCCATGAGATGTGGGAAAGGTCATTTTCTGTGGACATATGAGGTGAAAGGTGTCCAAAACGTGGATGGTGGGTAAGGATTCTGCAGTGAGAACTCATTACAGAGTTTTATTAGACTTCTCTTTGCAGATGGCTAGTAAGAGACAAGGCTTAATATTCTCCTTGAAGTGACAGAAATACGGCAAGATGTAACAAAAGGGATTTAGCTACCACAGGGAGAAGCTGGGCTGAACCCACCAAGACCTTCGGTGTCCCAGCCGTCATCCAGCAAAGCACTTAAGCGCCTGCTTTACTGTAAGCACTGTTTAAATCAATGCTGGGTCTGGAACAGAGGTCGGTATATATAGTTCGGGAGTCAGTCTGTGTGCTCCTGTTCTTCACCTGCACAGTGGGTCCCTTCCACTTTTAAATCACCTCCTCTTGAATTGTGAGGCTTCTGGAACTGAGAATATCTTTAGCAGCTCTTGGTAACTCCCCTAGCAGGCTGGTACTAGAATAAACCAAGTCACCTAATAAAAAATGGTAGCAAAATGAGGTTACAGAGCTTGATAGAAAGCACTAGTATATTGCAGAATTAAGCAAATCAGTTGTGAGCCGTGACTTGTCTGCAAGTAGAAGGGTTTTTCTTGCCTTTGGACATTGAACAGCCAATACTCGGGATGAGCGTAATGTTCCCTTCTTCCCTTAAAAGCTGTTAATGAATCCCTGGTCATCAGCGTCCCATCCTGTGCTTATTTACCAGTGCATTCTGCCGTGCTTCTCCCACTGGGCATTTTAGTGTCTAGAGTCTAGCAAAACTTCAGAAATGAGTAAC